TCACAATGTGCATAGATTCTGATTACAACTCACATGTGGACTAAAGGCAAATAGACTGTGCACTCTGCAAGAGCATTTGCTCTAGAGCTTAGTAAATGAGCAGAAGCTCTGCTGACTTTCATCATCCAATCATGTGCAAGCAAAAATGATGCTTTATTTAAATTTTCCTTGCATCTGATTGGATATTATTTGCAAAGGTGAATCTTTACCTCATTTACTAAGCTCTGGAGCAACTGCACTTGCAGAGTGCAACTGCAATTTGCAAAATGCACAGTCTATTTGCCTTTAGTAAATTGACCCCAAAAGTGTTTCGAGAATCCTTCTTCAGGAGCACATGTGCACTGGAACCCACTCCTAATCTTTAATAGAGTAAATAGAGTTGCATTGAGTAAAGAGATACCAAACATTCCATGTCATAAAATTGCATGCGCCTGTGATATCGCCAAATGCTACGGTGCCCAAAAATCAACATAGGTGATGCTTTAAAAGCCTTTATAGTTCATCCAGTTAGAGTTAGCTAGGAGCGCTTGTGCTAGAATGATTGTTTTCACTCTGATGTTCGCAGCGATATGTCACACATGTAGTGTGACAGCGGTTTACATATGTGTGCACACCCTGGGCTTGCGTTTGCACAGGTGTGCTCAGCAACGGGGTTATTTATAAAAAAATATATTTTATTATCATTTAAAAAACTTTTTTCTTAGTTGTATTTATTTTCACTTGATTGCTATCACAAGAGGTTTGTCACGTACCTGATTGGGGAGCCTGACGTGGAGAGAAGGCGTCCTCTTACGACTCCCGCTCAGAGCCCCTGATAGTGGGAAGAGAGGACGCAGAGTCAGGAATGGCACAAGTTCCGGGTGGATCTGGAGCTGGCGGCAGGTAGCTGAAGACCCAGGAGATCTGGATGCAGGCCAGGTGGGGATGCAGGAACATAGGTGCAGCAGCAAGCAGGTATGGCGGCAATCAGGATGCAGACTGGGACTGGACACCGGAGCATGGATGAGGTAGCAGGCAGGTATGGCAGTGACCAGGATGCAGGCCAGGTGCAGGACCGTGGGTGCAGTGGCAGGTAAGTATGCCAAACGTCAGGGTGCAAGCCATTTGCAGTACCAGGGATGCAGCGGCAGGTAAGTATGGCAGCTGTCAGGATGCAAGCCAGGTGCAAGTGCAGGTAAGTAGATGAGGCAGAGTCAGACAAGCCGGGTCAGTATTAAACAGGCAGATCAAGTACAAGGGAGCAGGCAAGCAGATGGCAAGGGATAGCTGAGGTCGGTGCAGGCGGAGTTCTTTCTTAGTCGGGTCAGATCAGGATACAAGCAACAGGGTCAGGTAATAAGTGCAGAGACATTGTAGACCAGAAGGCATTGATTGTACTGTAATGCAGGTTTAAAAAGCCCGCCTGGCGGTGACGTGGACTCTACTGCGCATGCGCGCACTTCTGCGCATGCGCGCCCGCACACTTCCGTGCATGCGCACTCGCACTGCCGCGACCTGAAGGGATCTGTCACCATCGCACGGCTGCACGGCGACAGGGTCCCTGACAGGGTTAATTTACCCCTATGTGATACCAGCAGGTGACAGGTCCTCTTTATGGAGACATTAGGGGTCTAATAGACCCCAGTGTCTTCCCTGCCCTTCACACAATCTAACCAATCACAGATCAGCATGGTTAGATGTGTCCTCTGGCTGTACTGGCCATGTGAGATAGAGGCATGGATTTGTTGCCTCAGTCTCACATCACTCTCCCTCCCCTAGCCAGTGGTAGTGTTCCCAAAGCCCAAGATAGGAGCGGAGATCCTGGGAACCATGGGAGGAGGGGGCCGGCAGCGGGGGAGTGGGGGGGGGGGAGTAGGAGGCAAAGCGCTGCTGGTTTTGTGAAACTTTCACTTTCCAGTGGCTGTGTTAGGCAAATTAGGTGGCTGTGAGGCCTCTGTGAGCACGAGGCCTTAGGTGGCCACCTAGTTTGCCTAATTAGAGAGCCACCTCTGCTCGTGCCAGTTGGAACAACTCTTACTGTAAATTTGGCATGACAGTTCCAACAGAGTAAAATATCCTTTCAGTAACTAAACCAGAGTACATACACAGAAGTAGTCCATAGGGGTAGAATCCATAAATGGTGAAACTCAAATGAAGATGTCCATGTTTATGGGTGTTCTGGTACTGTGGGGCTCCACAGCTCCCAGCAGACTGCAATGAGGCCTCAGTTCTCGGCTATCTCTCTCTCCGCCCTTTCTCCCCGGAACTCAAACCTCTTCCCTTTTATAATGTACAGGAGTGAAGGCTTGACCTAGAGAGAAAATCCTGTGAACATACTCAGGAAAGGCAGCAAACATATTAACCCTTTCCCCCCAACCAGGGCAGCCAAGTAACTAACTAATGTAGAATACAGTAGGCTACCTGCCTACAAACCCACCACACTGTGCTTCATCCTCCGCCATGAATTGCAGCAACGCATGGTAAAATGTGCTTATTTTCTACACACTACCCCAATGCACTGGTAAGAAAAGGCTCCCAATGCTCTCATTGGTTATATCCAGGGAATGCCTGTCTTTCTATACAGGGGCGTCCCTAGGGTTGGGGTCACCTGGTGCGGTAACACTTGCTGACACCCCCTCCGATGACCCCCTCTGACTCTGATCCATTATGCTCAGTCCGCAGATCCGATCCATCCTGCAGGGATCATCTGCTTGCTTTACAACTTATCTTTTCGTGGAGTGGGTCTGTTGTCACCCTGTGCGGTAGGTGTCACCCCCTGCACCTGCCTAGGGACACCACTGTTTCTATAATAATATTCATACCTACCATGACCAAACAATCTAAAGTCAGAAATCATTTTTTTGCTGAGCCTATCTAGGCCACAATGTTTCTGGAAGCTGTATTTAGCTGTGCACGTAGTGAATGTCATTTGATTGGCTTCATGGCCTGATACTATGCTTGTTGCATAAAACATAATGTTGGGGGATGATTCAGTTGATGACAGTGTGTGGGAATGAGGGCAAGCCATGTAACATCATCATCTGATGGGAAAATGCCACCAGCTATGATCTGGCCTTGTTTTACATTTCTTCTATCCAGTGACCTTTTGTCTCATCTTAATATCTGTTTATATTTTATTTCGAGTTGCCTTAATACATTGTGTGATTAACATTCCTTTAAGATTAGGGTGGAGCCACAGCAGGAATGTGCAGACTCCAATATTGAACAATAAACTTGATATGAATAGGAGGATTTGGGTCAATGACAGGTTTATTTATTTGTAATACAGAAGATTTTTACTGGAAGAGAATTCTAAAGAAAGTGTCAAATCAAGGAATGAATATGTAAATTGATACAAATTAATTGTGCCCTTTCCTAAATTTTAATTCACTAAAGTATGATTACACAGCTGCCAAATTTAAGCAAAAAATGCTATCCATAATAAAATATAACATCAAGGAGAACTCAAGCCACATTTTCTATTTTTTGGTTGAGTTTGGCAAGGTTAAAACCTTTGTTAGGCTTCTTATTATGTCTGTGTCCCTTTGGGTGAGTCTTCCGTAACTCCCTGTCCCAGAGGCACAGCGTGAGGAAAGTACTGCCGATAATCTGCAATTGTCAGAGGAAGGATCGGCACTGATTGTCAGTGCTCTGATAATCGGAGCCCAGCAGTGCCACCCACCAGTGCTGCCCATCAGTGCCCAGCAGTACCGCCCACAAGTGCCTAGCAGTGCCACCCACCTGTGCCCAGCAGTGCCACCCATCAGTGCTGCCCAGCAGTGCCACCCATCAGTGCCCAGCAGTGCTGCCAGTCAATGCCCAGCAGTGCCACCAGTCAGTGCCACCCATCAGTGCCCATCAGTGCCACCCAGCAGTGCTGCCAGTCAGTGCCCAGCAGTGCCACCAGTCAGTGCTGCCCATCAGTGCCACCCATCAGTGCCCATCATTGTTGCATATCAGTGCCAGCTCATCAGTGCCACCTATCAGCACCCATCAGTACTGCCTATCATGTCCATCATTGTTGCATATCAGTGCCAGCTCATCAGTGCCGCCTATTGATGTCTTGTCCCCTTTCGGTGAATCTTCTGTGCTTTCTGTCCCAGAGGCACAAAGGGATGAAACCTCTTTAAAATAAAATTAAAGGCTAAACATTTTTCCTTTTGGATAAAGTAAGGGAGGGTTTAAGACCCTGTAAATTATTTTTTTTTGCTATCTCTGTTTCATTTTGGAGATTTCCCTTCACTTCCTGTTCCATAGCCAAAACAGGAAGTGAGAGGAAACTCCTCCAAAGTGAGGGAATCCCTATTTCTGATTATCAGAAACTATGTAGTGTTCCCATTGGAAGATTTCCCCTTCATTCCTGTTTTGGCAACGATGAAAGATTTGGGATTTTCCTTGACTTTCACTTTTAGCGATGATAACAGTAATCAGGATAAATAGAGTGGGTGAACTCTCCCTTACTGTGGAACAGACAGCAATAAAAACCTGGCAAATGTTATAATCCCTCTCTATATTATTCAAAGCAAAAAAAAAAAAGTTTTCCCTTTACTTATACATGCACATGGGCCTATTGAAGGGCATATGGCCCTATAGAGTAAAATATGCCTGCTATTTTTTCAGCATCAGGGACCCATATCTGCCCATGGAAGTGCATTCTAGAATACTCTATACGCAGGTATGTGTGTGTAAATGGTGATAATTGCACTTATACGTGTATGGATGTAATTTCTTTGTGGAAAACTTTTACACACATATACAAAAAAAGGGCGCAGGGCTAATGTGTGTACCACAAATAATAGTAAAAACAACAAGTAAAGCACTAGAATAATTATATCATAAAGACTGATGACATGCTTGCTAAAAATAAAAAAAAAAAAAAAACTTGTAAAGAAGCAAATGTGTACTTTTCTGAAGGTTCTTGTCTTGAAATATAGATACTGCTCCCAGCTGCTGCAGGTAATTCATACTTCCGGGTGTGGATTCCATCTCCCGCTGCACATAGTGGTTCCTCCTGTTTGCTTGAATGTTCGGTAGTGAGCAGGGGCGGACTGACAACTCATGGGGCCCCCGGGCAATAGGGGATCATGGGGCCCCTGTGTCCTTGCCCACACTCAAACCACACCCAAAACAGCCTCTGAAAGGTAGCAGGGGCATCTCATGGGGCCCCCTACTGACCCCGGGGCCCTCGGGCAGTGCCCAAGTGCCTAAATGGTCAGTCCGCCCCTGGTAGTGAGTACAAGCCAGTGACAGTAACTACAGAACCAGAGGCCCCGAATATGGCGGGTCAAAACTGCCTGATCAGGTAAGCATGTATATGGGGCAATGAGGGGGCAGGTTACTGTAGGGGGACCAAAAAGGGATTTGTGAAAAGAGATTCACAGGAAAGCGGCTACATTATGAACAGAATGCGATACTCAGAAAAATTTCCAAAAATTGTGCTTTATTACACATTAATGATTGACACTCGGGCAATCGCCCTGGTTTACCGTCACATCAGTATGAGACAATACACACAGACCTAAAACCATTAAAATCACACCAAGACCGGTCTGGATATATGTGCTGCAAAGGCTATGACCACCATAGTCTAAAGCATTTGCAGCACTTGCACATTGGTTACACTCCCTGTAGGAGGTATATTTAAAAAATTATACCATAGGTATGTAATATCACATGCTATATATATAAGCACATATTGTTACCATATAGGTTACACTCCCTAAAGGAGATTTTCCCAAAAATTATACCATGGGTATATAATATCACATGCAAGCAAAAAAGACAGATACAGTTACCATCTGGAGAGAAGCAAACCCCTAAGCCTATAAAAGGCAATGTGGGTAAAACATTGAATGGAAAGAGGGAAATAACCCCAATGATATAATAATGGATTCATGCAGTACAACCCTATGAAGGCACATGTGGTTGGGGCCCTTTTATCTGTAATATACGTGAATAGTTGCAAGGATTCTTATAGATGAAAGAATCCCTGTTGTTGTCTTGATGGAGAGATAGATGCAAATAGCAGAGGCCTGCTTTATATGGTTTCTTCACCACAACATGTGGACTGCAAACCACTTTAATATTTGAAACAAGATGAGGCCCAGTAGGTCTTCCGCCTGTTGCAATATATGTAGTATGCCTTGTTTCTATATAAAGCATCATAATGTCCCCATCCTGTAATAAGACAAACGATATAAGGATAGTCACTTTAAGAGCTCTCACTCTTTAGTATATATAATATAAATCGCAAGGAGCCTTTTTCGTTAGTCCTGTAACAGTCCACTCACCACCTGTGCAATGGGTAGTAGAAAAAAGAGATATCCTTCATAAGTACTGCTGTGTTGATCCAGGGAACTACCGCTTACATCAGCCGACATTTTGCGGGTTCCGACCTCTCCATGGCGCCTGTACAGCTTTTGCATGACTCATGGCATGTGAAAATGGCTGCCTCCTTGTAGGTCGGCGTGCATATCGCCAGAAAAGAGAAATGCACTTGCTCTGGAAGTACAGTTATGTTTTAATTGCATGTCACGTAAAAAATATATATATATTTGCCTGTAAAATCACTGCCAAAAAAGGTATCTTGATTAGCTAGAAATCCATTATGCTCCTAATTTCCTCCCTGGGTTGACAACACAGTGCCTTTGCTGCTCTGAATTCCCTGTCGGCATTGTCAGCCATACCTGTTGGCATACAGGACTCCACCTTTACCTGTCGCTCTCTGTCCTACTCTGCATGAATACATTGATTTCTTTCTGCCTCAACTTACAGGAACATGCTCACACGCAGTGTGTAGGGAAAGGGCTCTTGGGGGATGTAGCTCTGGGAAGGGGGACCTGTGTCAGTAGAAAATGACCTACCATCAGCTGCCTGGTTATGGTCTCACAGGGAACAATAACATTTGTTTCTCGGTACCTGAATGACTAGAAATAAGAATAATCCTGGACAGGGGCGGACTGACCATTTGGGAACTCTGGCACTGCCCGAGGGCCCAGGGTTAGTAGGGGGCCCCATGAGATGCCCCTGGTTCCTTTCATAGGCTTTTTTGGGTGTGGTTTGAGTGTGGGTGAGGACACAGGGGCCCCATGATCCCCTATTGCCCAGGGGCCCCATGAGTTGTCAGTCCGCCCCTGATCCTGGAGCATACTCAAGAAACCGATAGGGAGGTCTGGAGTTAAATTTAGGTAATGCCTGGATATACACTTTAAGCATTGTGTCTAAGAGTACATTTAACTTTTAGGGTTAGTTCACACCAGATGCAGTTCAGTGCGTGTTTTTTCTGCATCAAAAATGCATGCTCAGTGTTTTCCATGTATTCCAATGACCCTAGTTCACACCAGTGCAGTTAGTTTCTGATGCAGAAAAAAAAAAAGTAGAATATGCTGCATTTTTTCTGCACAGAACCATACTGGAACATTGCAAACTGCATCGAAACTGCACCAGAACTGCGTGTGGTGTGAACTGTAAGCAAAAACGTATCCGGAATGCATCTGGAGTGCATTTTTCTAGTTTGAACTGGTCCTAAGCCTGGGTTCCCACTGATGCGGTCCAGAGTTCGCAGCGTTTTCTGTGCGAATTCCGCACAGCATGAACGTACCCCGTTCATGCGATCCGCTGCAGGTGTGTATGTTAAGTTAACAACACCCCGAAATTGGTCCACAAAACATGCGATGTGCAGAATCGGATCGCATAGGTGTGAATACCCATGCAATCCGATTCTATTGTGGACCAAAAAAAGGATCCTACACCTTTATGGTGCAGATGCGGTGCAATTTGATCCATGCATAATATATGGCTGAAATCGCACTGCACAGAATTCGCATGTGATTTGCACAGGAATGAGGTGAGGTCCCTGTGTGAATCACATGCGATGTACCGCACGCATGAGTGTGAACCTAGCCTCAATGTTAATGATTAGAGTCATTGTAATGGTACATTGTGGGCAGCACAGTGGCTAAATGGTTAGCACTTCCGCCTGGCAGTACTAGGGTCATTGGTTTGAATCCCGGCCACGGCACTTCCTGCCTGGAGTTTGCATGTTCTGCCTGTGTGGGTTTTCTCTGCGTACTCCGGTTTCCTCCCACACTCCAAAGACATGCTGGTAGGTTAATTGGATCCTGTCTAAATTGGCCCTTGTATATGAATGTGAGTTAGGGACCTTAGATTGTACACCCCTTGAGGGTTAGGGACTGATGTGAATATATATGTAAAGTGCTGTGTAAATTGACAGCACTATATAAGTACCTGAAATAAATAATAAAATAAATAAATTGTAACAACTGGTGAATTTGACTGCTGAAGTAGGGTTTTGCTCTATACACACATTGGTAGAGGAAAGGGGTTTAGTTAAAATATTACTAAATGCTCAGCAATTTTTATCTTAAAACATTCTAAGCAAGCAGTATGCAAGCAAGCATCATACTTTGATGATCACCACCACCAACTCCAGGTTGCATAGCTGCTACTTCCCCAAACTTCCAGTTGGGTAGCATTCATTACATGCCCCATGACCCCTTGCCCATCAATCAGACTGTGTACACCATAAAAACACCAAGAACCCCGAATAGGCACCCCAGCCACAGTGCTTGAAGGGGTACACTACAAAGTAAACTGCCCACACTGCACTTGCACGAAAAGGACCCTCTGCCACACTGTGCATGTACTGCCTATGCAACAGCACCCAAGCATCCAAAAAGACCTGGCTGGGGGCATTAATATCAGGGTGGCTCCAGGGAGACCCTGCAAGGCAGTGGAGCCACCTTGGAAGTAAAAGTTGTGGACACAAAGCCTTGGAAGACCAATTTTGCGGCAAATAATGGCTGCACACAAAAACACAGGAAGGAAGAAACTATACGAACTTCAGTAAACTCAGCAGGTACAGAGCATAAATATCCGAAGTGGAAAAAAAGGTGGAAGGTTATCTTCATGTTTTGTTTAATATAAATGGCTATTTACTTACCGATCAGATTTTGTCATTTATTCAGACTGGTTACTGGGGCAAAAGCTTAGATTTAGTTTGCCATCTCTTTTTTTTATTCTACCTCTTAGTTTTGCATGTTTCAGAGTGATACATTACATTTTTAAATGTGAACATTTTATTTTTCTGAACTTGTCACATTGTGATGAGTGTTTTTAGTGCTGAAATTTTATGCATTCAGAAATAATGTGCCAATCTTTTCACTGCTAAAAATAATATACCATCTACAACGTGTTTTGAGAGGCACTGCTTGAAAGAAAAAAAAAAAAGCTGCTGAAAAATAGTTTTGAGCCTGAAGGAAGACAGAACAACCAATCAGGTTTAGTTACAAAATCAAACGTTTCTCCACACTAAAAATTCTTTGAAGCATGACAGCAAGTTGGACAGAACCATGCACATCATTTGTTCATGCCTTCATGACTAATGGGCAGCACAGTGGCTAAATGGTTAGCACTTCCACCTGGCAGTACTAGGGTTGTTGGTTTGAATCCCAACCACGGCACCACCTGCCTGGAGTTTGCATGTTGTGCCTGTGTGGGTTTCCTCCAGATACTCCTGTTTCTTCCCACACTCCAAAGACATGCTGGTAGGTTAATTGGCGCCTGTCTAAATCAGCCCTAGTATGTGTATGAATGTGAGTTGGGGACCTTAGATTGTATGCCTCTTGAGGGTTAGGGACTGATGTGAATGTACAATATGTAAAGCGCTACATATAAATTGACAGAGCTATATAAGTACCTGAAATAAATAAATAATGGTGCATCCAGATACCTGTGTTCACAGCCTTAAATGTAACATAATTTATTTAACTTGTATACAGATATTACAGGATTTTTAGCCCATGTCTGATTAAGACTGGGATTCTCAAACCAGGGTTCCATGAGAGGTCCTCGGGAGTTTCGCTACTTCCAGCATTTCAGCAGATTCCTATCTGGCCAACCGTGATTGCAGTATCACCCCTGAAAGCTACTCTCCCTTGGCATCAGAGATACCGCTCTCTCTTGGTACTCATCCTACCTATCCCGACACTCCTTCAGCGTCACCTACAATGGTGCCACCTCCCCCTCCCTCCCCCTCTCTGTTGGGGTCCCCCAAGGCTCTGTCGTTGGACCCCTTCTCTTCTCCATCTACACCTCCTCCCTGGGCAAACTCATACACTCCCACGGCTTCAACTATCACCTCTACGCTGACGACACCCAAATTTACCTCTCCACCCCTCTCCTCACCCCCACTATCTCTGCCCGCATCACTCACCTCCTAAATGACATCTCAGACTGGATGTCGCTACGTTTCCTCAAGCTCAGCCTCTCCAAAACCGAGCTCCTGTCTTTCCCCCTGCCCACACCCCCCCCCCCCTTCCTATCCATCATCACCAACAACTCCACTATCATTCCCGCCCCGCAAGCCAAAGTCCTTGGCGTCATTCTTGACTCGAACCTCTCCTTCCAACCGCATGTCAAATCACTTACAAACACATGCAGGCTCCACCTCCGCAACATTGCCAAGATACGTACCTTCCTCACCCCTGACACCACCAAACTTGTAGTACACTCCCTGATTATCTCACGCCTTGACTACTGCAATTCTCTTCTCACCGGCCTACCCAAGTGCAGGCTCTCCCCGCTCCAGACCATCCTGAACTCAGCAGCCAGACTCATCCACCTCACCACCCGCTCCACCTCTGCCACCCCCCTCTGCCTCTCCCTCCACTGGCTCCCGATTGCCCAACGCATAATTTAAACTTCTAACCCTGACCTACAAAGCCGTTCACAACACTGCCCCTGACTACCTCACCAACCTGATCCCCAAGTACCGCCCTACCCGTACCCTTCGCTCCTCACTGGACCTCCTTCTATCCTGCTCCCTGGTCTCCTCCTCCCATGCACGACTGCAAGACTTCTCCAGGTCCTCCCCCATCCTCTGGAACTCACTGCCCCAATCCATCAGACTGTCGCCTTCCCCCTCCTCACATTCAGGCGCTCCCTCAAAACCCATCTCTTCAGGGAAGCCTACCCCACCCTCACCTAACGGCCACTCTCCCTCTTTCCTCCCACCCCCCATTCCCATCAGCCACTTCCTCCTGTACCATTACCCCCTCCCTCCTAGATTGTAAGCTCGAAAGAGTAGGGCCCTCTTACCCCTCGTACGTTGTTTGTTATTGTTGTACTGTGCCATGTATTGTCCCCCCTCTATTGTACAGCGCTGAGCAAACCCTTTGGCGCTATATATACTCGATGTAATAATAATAATAATAATAAATAATAATAAAGCTACAAGCTGCAAAAGATTTGTGTTGCTAAGTACTTGTCACAATCTTTTTGGATCAGGGTGTGGAGCCTGAGTGATGAAGACATGAATCCCTCCAAAATAAAAAAACTGTATATATATATATATACATCCTCATTTTTTATAAATGAAGGGGATCTTTGCTGCTTCTCAGTAGTACGGTTTCCTTATTTACTCATATGGCGCTACCCCCTCAGGGGCTAGATAATACTTGTCCCCAGTTGTTGTCCTGATTTTGCAAGCTTCTCAACCATTCTGACTTTAGGATCAGACATGCTTAAACACAGAATTAATGCTCAACAAATTAGTGATAAAGAAAATTAGCACAGAGGCTAATAAAAGCAAGAGACACAATTCTTTAGCAGCTACTGTTATACTGAACGCTGGTAAGCAAGGGCTCCAATTAACGGATGAATAGTCCACAACAGTCTCAAAGGGCACATAAAATTAGTGAACTCTAAATACAATACCAAGTGGTTAAGTAACACTATGGTAGCAATGTCAACGTATATCTATCTAGACAGGTTAGATGCAATTAAAGGTAACCATCAAAGTGCAACGCTGGTTGAAGGAGAGAGACTTAAAACTCATCAGCTCCCTCCGGAGCATTGACACACTGAGTTAGATGTCACTGAAATACCCTTCTGGATTAGTAATGACTAACAAGGGTAGAGTGCTTCCCTAAAGGGAGGTTCATGACCTGTATAGGAGATAGTTCCAGTTTGGAGTGCAGGGAGTTGTTTTCTGCTAGCAATGTTGGGGCCCATAGACGATGTTGGATATTTATAGACCAGTAATGTTAAGCAGGTGAACAACTGGAATGCTAATAGCAAGGGTTCCTTTACAGCTGAAGTATAATGATGTCTGCCTGCAGTGTCTCTAAGCAGTTGAATGACAGAAAGAGGTTGGGCATCTGCCCGCTCACCATCCAAACCTGATAATGATGCAGGCTCTTGCCTCTCAGCTGAGAAGTGAAAGATGGTCATCCAACAGGCTGTCAGCATGGCAAAAGCAGCTAATGGAAAATGGAGATGGACTGTGAGAGTTTTACAGTGTAGAGGAACAACTGTGGCACCCAGGCTAGTGATCTGCGACACAGCTGGACAGATCCATTGTCTGGAATGTCACTGTAAGCATCAAGGCAGTAAAGGTCCACTGTGACTATGTACAGGATGGCAGCCTCCAACCATCCTGTCTGAAGTCCTGAGCCAAAAGAGCGGGCCCACCAGGTGCAGTCAAATATATAGGCTCTCCCACTATTAACTTGGCTAGGCTAGCCTCCTGGGTTGTGTAGTTCAAACAGCACTCAGGAATACAGTGCAGAGTTGCAGTGGGACTACAGGTCCCAATATCCTCTGCTATTCTCAGGAATGCAAGCTTTCTCACTCTGTAGGTAAGAAGTGCTGCAATCACCTGAGCACTGGGCACTAGAGGGAGAATATCCAGTCCATGGTTCTGCTTGTCAGTGTCCTTTAGTTTCCATTATAACATAGCCTGCACCTAGCTACAGTATCAGTGATGTCCTTGTGGTTCATAAACATGGAGAAATTGTCACTGGATCCGTCCAAACCAGAATTTTCCTGTTACAAAATCAATTTGGTGATACAAAGTATTTTTCTTCCAGAGGAAAGGGTCCACAAGATTCACT